CATGGAAGTGAAAGTATTTTGTAAATTATAAACTGTTAAACAAGTCTAGTTCAACAGATAATTATTGAGTAAGTTCTATGCATCAGTACCATGAAGGATGCAGGATATGTAATTGGCAAGGAAAGTATTCTAAAGGAATTTCTACCATTTTTTCATGAAATCTTTGTGTTTTTCAGAGGAGTAATACATTTCGAGAGTTGGAAGATACTACCAAGGCTTTGATAAATGGCTGACTAAAATAAATGCAAAAATGATGAGATTAACTTTCTGTAGAAATCACCTCAAAATAGGACTTCTTTAGATCAAAATCCTTAAGAAGAGACAAACCCCCAAAGATTCTAATGACGGTTCATCTGAATATAAAATAAACTCATGACTCATAAACTCATAACTGTGCTAAAAGTGATTAATATAGCCACCATCATTTACTTTGCACTTAATAATTGCTAGACACTATAATATGCACTATATTGTTTACATACTGCATCTCACTTATCACCACAAATTCAGAAGGTAGGTATTGCAATTCCAGTTTATAAATGATAACCTAAAGTTCTGAGAAGTTAAATAACTTGTCTAAAATCATCCTGCCAGCAAGTAACAGTCTGAATTCAAACCCAGGTTATCTATTTCTCAAAGGATGGATGTGGTGGTTTAGTAGAGAGAGCTTGGGAACAGAAGTAGGAGTTTGGGATAAGGAGAGCGTGGAGGTGTTCTCTGGGAAGTACCAGAGAGATGGAGCTGCTCAGGAGCTACCTGGACTTGCCCAGGTGTAAGAGTGTCCTGCTCTGTGAATATTCATAAGCAGACTGGCTCCCAGGTGCCTATCAAGGCATCAGATCATCAGTAGCTGGGCAAATCCAGCTATTGCACTGACAGCTCTGACTTGGCTCTCAACTTCTGACAGGCATTTGATATCCTCTGTAGATTTGCCTCCTGGGAGGGAACTTAAAACTAAAATATACTTTATTTTATTTTTTATTGAAGTATAGTTGTTTTACAATGTCTTATTAGTTATCTATTTTATATACAGTAAAATAGATAACTAACAAGGACCTACTGTATAGCACAGGGAACTGTACTAATAATAATCTATAAGGGAAAATAATCTGAAAAAGAATATATATACATATATATGTATATATGTGTGTGTGTATGTATGCATATGTGTGTATATATAGTAGGTCCTTATTAGTTACCTATTTCATATGCAGTAGTGTGTATATGTTAATCCCAACCTCCTAATTTATCTCTCCCCCCTTTCCTTTTTGGTAACCATGTTTATTTTCTATGTCTGTGAGTCTCTTTCTGTTTTGTAAATTAGTTCATTTGTATCTTTTTTTTTATATCCCACATATAAGTGACATCATATGATATTTGTCTTTCTCTGTCTGGCTTACTTCACTTAGTATGGTAATCTCTAGGTCCATCCATGTTTCTGCAGATGGGCTTATTTCAATCATTTTTATGGCTGAGTAATATTCCATTATATATATATATATATATATATATACACACACACACACACACACATATACACACACCACATCTTTATCCATTTATGTGTCAATGGACATTTAGGTTGCTTCCTTTAACACTTGAATGAAGTCACAGAACATGGATGTATACACCAGAATACCAGAGTGAGACAATGTCCTGAAGTCCCATGAACTCTGAGTTCCCTGCATAAAATTAGTCTTCTGAATCTGCAAAGTTGATGATGAAATGCAGATCCTTGGGGACTCCACAAAAGCTCGACACTCTCAGAGGCTGGGCTTGGGCTACTAGCCATGCTTCATCTCTATCTCATGCTAAATTCAACAGCGAAGACACCACAATTAAGGGCTGTGCCCTCATGCAGATGGATATTGAACTTCCATGTTATGTCCAGACCTTTTGGTTCATCGTAGTTTGTAGGGCAAACAGCTATGCACAGAGCCATTTAAACATGGTAGAATTCTAATTCCCATGCTTAGGTGTTTGGGAAACAATGTTTCAGTTAGCATCACCAGTGAAATACAAAAAACAAAACTCACATACATATTTTACTATTGCTTATGGTATATCTGGGAGTCCTAAAATGCTTTTGATTAGTTGAAAGGAAAGTGATGCTGTGATCATGATTCTGAATACATCCAGCAGGGCATTGATGATGTTCAGTGCAAAGAGCAGGGGCTTGGGATTTCCATAGACCTGGCTTCTCATTCCGGTGTGAAATCGACAATGTATGGAGTTTCTCTGAACCTTGGTATCCTGTTTTATAGAGTAAGAATAAGTATATCTACTAAAAAATGAGAAAGAGTGAGTATGCACCGTCCAGTGCATAGCAGGCACTCAAATGGTCATTGCTATTTGGAGGGCATGATTAAAATTAAGTTGAATAAACATGGTGATGATTCCCAAAGTATCCTGTCCACAAAAGTAACAAAAAGAAACAAAAATCACAAAAAATTTCTATGATCGCTGTTTCCCACAAGTCTGTTTTTCATGATTATTTTTCTTTACTAAGCTACTCATATCTAACCTTTATAACCTGATGTTTCTCAGTCTTATTGATAACTTACTTCCCCAAATCACTGAGAATTATGTTTAATCTGTTAAAAATCTTAAATATAATTAGATTCAATTAATTATCTCTGTTTAGTAATTCACCCCTTTTGACCATTCTCTCTTTCTCATGCTAGGACGCGTAGGCACAGCTTGGAGCAACTGTACAGAGCTCAGGTCTTGGTAGACCTTGGCAACTACGTGCGAAGGTGAATCTCACTGCTTTATGTGATGGTATTCATAAAAAGATACTGCCAGATCTAGCTCAGCTACTTGCTGTGACCTTGGCAACAACACTGTACAGATGCCATTTATCCATTTCCTGAATGTTTCCTCTGTGTCAGACACAATATATACATTCACTTTCATCCTCATAGCAATCCATAGCATGTATTAATCCACCCAGTTTCAAACTACAAAATACCAACCAAAGCTAACCAAAGCTCAGAGAGGTTAAGCCACTTACCCCCAAACAATAATGAAGTCATACACCACATTCATATTCACTTTTGACTGATCTCAAAGCCTCCTCTCCATGTCACCATACTGTCCATCCTCATCAACTTTTTGAGCCTCAGTTTCAACATCTAATATTGCTCTGCCTACTTCATTAAGTTAAGATCATTAAATTAAAAAAAAGTGTGCAAAGACTCTGTCAATTCTACAAGGCTATGTAACTGTGTTATATTACTATTCTCTAATGAGATTATTAAAATAAAATATTCATAAATTTATCTGTATTAATAAATTCCATGCTAATTGTGAGCACGTTTTAGGAAGAAGGCCAGAGTTGATGTAGGGTGAGGAAAGGAAAGTAATGGAGAAAGAGCCAACATTAATTGAGCACTTACTAAGTATTAAATATATACCATATGTCATTTAATATAGATATTATATTATTGAAGCTAAAGAGTTGTCAATACAAGTGATATGATCTTGCTCCATTATGAAGATGCAGGAATTGAGGATTTCAGGGAATAAGGTAGCATATATGGTCAAGCTACAGAGTTTGGATCCTAATCAATGTAGTCAGATGTTAAATCCTACTGTCTTTCCAAGATAACACCTGACTCATGGCAAAGTGAGCTAGAGATGGGGTCCTGGGTATAAAGCCAGGGGTGACCAGATGGTACAGAAAACCATAAGCTTTGGTTTTAGAATGGTTTTATTCACAGAATCATCTGAGAGGGCTCCTTGGAGAAAAGAAAAAATAATGTCACCACTAGGAGGGCTGGTGTCAAAGATGCCAGGAATGGACTCGAGGTGAACTCTGTGAAGCTGTAAAGGAACAGTGGCCACCGTTCATATTAGTGAGAACCAGGTGCAAATCAGTGTAGTTTTGAATTCTGTTACTGATATTAGTGATTGGACAACCTTGGACATTAACTTGGACCACTCAAGCTCTTCTTCTGTAAATAGGGAAAACAATATCTAAGTCTCAAGTTTGGGTATAAGGGTTAAATGAGCTCATGTGTATAGACTGGTTGGCAAGAGACATAGTTAAATAAACACCAGTTGCCCTTCTTGATTCTCTAGGGAAAGTTTTATCTTAAGTTTCTCAGAGGATTTCTGAAGCTTTGTCGTTTCTCTGCTGACCTCCAGTTCGCCTGACTTACAATTGATTTCCTGATTTTTGAAATGACTATTCCCTGTGGTTTGGGTGGCCCTTGGGAATCCAAAGGAACAGCATCGCTGAGGGAGATAATTAGATAAGTAACATTGGTACATTGTGATAAAATCAGTTCTGATAAAGTTCAGCTACATCAGTATCTTTTAAAGTATAGATACTTGGATGACACTTATTCTCTTTTCTGTCTTATTCCAGCTTACTATTTGTTTGTTCTCTCTGAGAAGAAGAGGCATCTAGAAGAGATACCTCCTGGTACCCATAGAGGGTAGGCATTTCACCCCAACTTCACTCTCCTGCTTGGGTTCCTCACCCCTGCAGAGGGAAAATGGTTAGTATGATTAAAAAGTCCACACTCCTCCAGACCAACACAGAAAGAAAACCATCTCAATTTAGAACATTTAAAAAATATACACCCACAGAGGCTCCAGGAGTTAACTTCTACTTTCAATGGCCCACTTTGGATAGAGGCTGCCTTTCTAGATGGCTGTCGTAATGAAGGTCAGCCAAGAAAGCCAGCAACTAGCCTGGTCTTCAGATTTTTAGTAGCCAACAGTTAGGGGGTTCAAGCTCCAGGGAGGGAAGATTGAAAACGTTTCATCTTTCAATTTTTATGGGTCAGTATCTTGATTCCTTCTTCCAGCAGAGGAAGGAATCTTTAAAAACTGATGAAGGGAGCTGGCTTTCGTTATGTCCGTCAGATGCTTTATAGAAGGGCCAGCATTCCATGTTAGAAAAACCTTTTATTCTTGACATCAGCTCTTTCTTAATGATCCTCTATGACAGTGAGATGACCACTCAGACGAGGCTGGCCTACGTAGTTTACCTGAACAGCGTGGGGATCGCAAACGGCCTTGTGCTGAGATGTCCCTTGCGTCGGGGGTCTGTGGCAGCATCACGGAGAAGTCCAGCAGCCGGTAATCCAAGAGGCAGGGGGTTAAAATATTCTCAGTGGTAAGCAGTGTCCTTTAGCAGAAAGCTCCTCCTAGGTCCGTTTTAGGTTTGGTTTCCTGTGAAATGCAGCCACAGAACTTGGGTGGTGTGACCTGTGTAAGGGAGGGACTTCCTCTTCTTGAGTTCAAGTGCAATGAACAAAACTACAGGAGGCTGAGGTCTCCCAACCCAAAGAGTGTCCTTAAAGACACACAATATCCTCATATGGCACTTTGACATTACCAGAACGTCCTGAAGCTTTGCTGAGCAACATGGAAGCATACGGGTTTTGTTTATCTTGTTTCACATACACATGAAACACGGATTATCTTGTGACTTGATGTTGCCAATGGCTTTCTGAGACCCCCCCGCCCCCCACCACAAGTCACATGGACCAAATCCCTCATGTGTGATGGAGAAAACTTGGGGTTTGGGATAAGAAATGCCTGGCTCTTCTTGCTGTACTACACATCAGTTATGTGATCTTGAGCAAATTGCAGTTTATTTCTCAACTAGTGTCCCTGCCTGTGATTGAGGGATAGTAATATTTCTATTTTAGAGATATTCCAAGAAATGAACAAAATGATGTTCATTTGTTCAATAAATACAAGGAGCAAGGTTTGGGGGCACATATTAGGTGCTCAGTATATTTTAATTTTGCTCCACCTTAATCCTGGTTCATTTAAACTGACAGCAAGTCCTTGTCAAGTGCCTGCTGTTCTCTTGGTGCTTGCCACGTGATACTCTAGTTTTATACAAATTACTGTTTTATATGAAATGATGTTGAACTCCAACATTATTTCAGATATACTCAAAGGCAGAAGTTTATATTTTCTTGGATATATAACTCTGATTTTGACTTATCATATGTTCCAAAGGTAACACTAAAATAAGTACTCATTAAATGTTACTTATATGCCAGGTACTGTGCTGGGCAATGTACAGGCATTATTCTACTAAATCTTCCTGATAATTAGGTGAGGAAAATATGTTTAAATCCCTTTTGTAATTGTGAATGCTGAAGCCTAGAGAGATTCCATAATTTACCCACTTTATCAATTAGCTTTTGCTGCATAAGGCGTTTAAAGCAATAACCATTTTATTTAGTTCGCTATTGTGTGTGGTCGGTAATTTGGTCTGGGCCTGTGTTAGTTTCCTGGGGCTGTGATAACAAAGTTTCATAAGGTGGGTGACTAAAACAACGGAAATGTGTTGTCATGCAGCTTTGGAGGATAAAGTCTGAATCGAGGTGTTGGCAGCGTTGGTTCCTTCTGAGGGTCGTGAGGGAAGGATAAATGGCCTTCTTCATCTTTACACAGCATTTTCCCATGTCTGTGTCCACATTTTTCCTTTTCTTTTGGCTGCACCGGTGCAGAATATGTGATCTTAGTCCCCGGACCAGGGATGGAACCCGTGCCCCCTGCATTGGAAGCGCAGAGTCTTAACAGCTGCACCACTAGGGAAGGCTCACATTTTTCCTTCTTTTAAGCACACTAGTCACATGGAATTAGGGCTTTTCCTAATGACCTCATTTTAACTTGATTACCTCTTTAAAGACCTTGTCTCCAGGTAAGGTCATATTCTGAGGCATTGGAGGTTAGGACTTTAATGTATGAATTTTGCGGGGGGGGGGGGGACACAAGTCAACCCCAGAGCAAATTTGATTTATAGTTTTGTTTGAGAAACTGATTTCTGATGAATAACCGTTCTATGTGAAAGGTTTAATTCTTAATTTACTTCCTCTCTCTAAAGCCAAGACAATGTGTTGGAGGGAAAAAAAAAGAAAGATAGCAAAGTCTGACCTAACCTTACCACTTTCCTATTATTCTTCCTCTTGTTTTCTTTTGCAATTTTTTGAATAAAACAAATTTAGGTGATAAATAAATTTTCAGGTCCTGGATAAGCATCCCGATATTGTGTGGTGTTGGGATTCTTCCTTTCAGTCAGTGGTGACTGCCAACCAAGTTCAGGCTCCTGTCACACTGCTGGTTTCAGGGTGGTGTCAAGCCTGGAGTTGCACTGTGCCACTTACACAAACATGCCGGAAACACAGGAGGCTGTCCACCACCATCATGGTAGGTGTGTTATTTTATAAACTCCTGGTTGAAGGTACTGTCTCCTGCAATGGATCAAAATCTCTGTATTTTTTACTAATTGTATGGGAGCTCCTGTGTCGAAACCTGGGTTAATTGGCTCCAGCACTTCTGATTTATTATAGCTTAGCACCTGTTTATGTGGGTGCCTTGGGCAGTCTGACTGCAGGCCCCTGAGAGGGGCTCACCTCAAGTTAATTGCCTTTCCCTTCAGGACACACCCTATGAGCCTCCCATGTAGCTGTGTTCACCCTTTTGCATCACTCTGGCATTTTTGGAAGGGGAAGAACCTTAGCTGAACTTAAGTCTTGTCCCCTGCTGGATTTCAGGCATGCTCCCTTTCACCTGGGTCTGTGTCGCCGTTGGACAATTTCCTGGCTGCTAAGAAGTAGCTTCCTGGGGAAAAATCTCAAACACAGACACAGCTGACATTCAAACACATCTGGTCATATCCGGGGAACTAAAGCAGGTGGAACTATTCCCATGGAAGTCTCTTTTTCCCAGAAGCGGTCTTCAGATTTTCCCTGCTTCCTCGGCCAACCACCGTGACACATCCCACAGAAAGGCAGACCCCAACATAAGGAAATCCAGGACTTAGTGTAATAGCTCACAGGTCAGAGGTAAAGGGCTATTCTGAACATAACATGGTTCCTGACTTTTGGCTTTATCTCCTGGCCTACTTTTGTTGCATCCACACCTAAGTTCTTTAGAAATCACAGAGGTGAAGGTGGTAGTAAATGCCGAAAGAGCTTTTCCCTAAAATCTGTGCTCAATTTCCTTAGACTCCTCTAATTCTTTATTCACAGAAATGATAAGAGGTTTATCAACGAATGAATACCCATTAAATATGAACTTATTGCTTAGGTCACCTTATTTTTCCCCAGGAAGGGGTTAACATGAAAAATTAAGACCTCAGTATATACTAGACATTGTTCTAGGCACTTTGCATAAAAGCATAATTTAATCACCACAATGATGCCTCCATGTTGGTATCATAATCATTATTACCCATTTGAATACAAAAGCAGAGTCTCATCACACTGGTGACAGATTCATTTGTCCCTACTGTCTCCAGGTGTCCCCTCCTGGCTTTGGCACCATGATGGCTCCAGAACATTAGTGGCTTTGTCCTATGAAAGCCATGGGACAGGTAGAGACTACTGTACCCAGTGAAATGCCAGTGAGAAAGAAATACTTAAAAGAAAGCACTGTGCAATGAATGAACGATTCAGAATAAGAGGACAGAGAGTGGCCTGGGGTGTATGAGATGGGGGTTTCTTTAGGTCACGTGTTTTGGGGTTGAGTCTTTGCAGAGGTCACATTTCAGCTGAAGCATGAGTGGTGAAAAGAATCCAGCCAAATGTAGCTCTGGAGAGAAGAGGTTTTTTAGTAGAGGGAACCAAGAGATAAGCTTTAGGGGTATATATATCTTAATAAATTTTACACTTCTTGAGGCTGACTGCAGTTGTTTCTCATCTTGGAATACATCACAGTACCAAGAACCCACCTTGTATCACCCGGCAATAGTTGAACTGAATTGGCTATAGACTAAACCTCTAACTTTAAAATGAAGAAGTGGAGTCCTTTTGAGGTGAAGTGACCAACCACTCTGGTGAGTTGGGGGAAGAACCAAGACAGTAACCCAAGTTCCAATCACTTAACCAAATCTCTTGCCAGGCCAGCATAGCTATGTCTCCTAATTCTATATGAAAATGGTGGCCATAGTTAGCCATTTATCTTGAGCAGAGCCTTGTTTAGACAAATCTGCCTAGGAATGTGACATCATCCCCACCCCCCCCCCCCCACACAAATCTGCTATAGGTCGTTTGCTAAACACTTTTCCCAGAGGTTAAAAACTGTAGTATTCTTAGACCATTCAGGCAAAATTGCTCCCTATCCACGCATGGCCTGAATCATTGCCAGCGTCGCTAAATTGACAGGGCAAAGGACCGCATGCCATCTGTCTTCACATTGGTTGAATTTAGGTATTGAAGTGAGAATCAAATTAAGAAAAAGGAAAACAGCACAAACACTGCTGTGGAATCCTTGATGGGCTTCGCTCAGCCTGTATGATTAACGATCTTTGCGGGGGACAGTGGGACAAGGCAAGGCTCAGAGTAGAGGAAGACAGAAATAAAGTCAAGCTCCACATCCAAAATGGACTTGGACCTTTGGCTTTTAAAAAAGTAGGAACAGGGCTTTTAATCTCTTTAATTCTCTCTCTCTCTTTCTCTTTTTAAGACTGCCTTTTCTAAGAGGAAGGAGAAGGAAACTAAAATTACTGTTGTCGCTAAGACAAATAGGAATAATAATAGCTGATATCAGTAAAGTAACTACCATTTTCAGACTCTCTTCCTAAACTTTGTTTTTCTTCATATGTATCTTGGTCCTTAATGCCTCTTTGAGACTCAATGAAGTTCAATTACAAGTCTTGCCTGGGATCCACAGCTGGTAAGCCATTGAGCAAGGACAAACTCACATCTCTAGCCTTCATGTTGCTTTTGCCCCAACCAGTAGTTTTTCCATCTTTAAAAGGAGGAAACAGAGGCACGGCAAAGTATAGTCAGGACCAAATTCACAGTTAGCAGCTATAAAGCTGGTCTCTGTTCTTGAGGCTGGAATTGTCTGCACAGTCCTTGCTGCTAGCTCTGTGATGGGAACCTTCTGTGACTCTGGGATTTTCTAAGAGGCAGTGGGAGCACAGCTCTTTAATGATTTCATGTCTAAAATCCTGCAGATACTTTATAGCAGCCAGAGAACACCTAATGTCCTTAGCTCAGGCTACTGTAACAAAGTTCCAAAGACTAGAGGTGGGAGTCGGGGTGACTTATAAACAACAGACATTTTTTCCTCATAGTCCTGGAGGCTGGAAATCTGAGATCAGGGAACCAGCATGGTTAGGCTCTGGTGTGTCCCCTCTTCCAGGTT